CAGTTTGATTAGAAACAAAGACAACATTCTACTTCCTTGGCATGGTCCTCTCCTTGCTGGTTCTGGCCATACCAGCAGAGCTGTCCACCGGGGATGGTCTAAAAAGCTACAGAAGCACCCATGATAGTATGATCGAAGCTTCCACTGGTACCTAAAAAACTCATCTTGACTTTTTGAACCATACCCTGTGGACATCAGAGACAGTGGCACATCAGTGCACTTCACTGCTATCACTAGAGGTTAATTTGCTCAACGCTGTTTCGCTGAACCCATCAAAAGCATGCAGGTGAGACTTGGTTTAGAAATGTCTATGGCAGCCTTTCCCCAGTTATTTTCTTCCCTTTGCGTTGGAATCAAGCTTCATCATCCCTTAGGGCCATGCTGGCTGAGGAATTTTGGAGGCTATAAATGCAAACCATCTGGAAGACTTCAGGTTAGAAGAAATGGTTTAAATTACAGAGGTGGAAATCCAGCATTTCTGGAGGGCACTGGCTTGGAGAAGACGAGGTCAACATTATTAGATTGACTTTGGGAAAGAGACAGCAACACACACCCCAACCTTAGGCGATATGTAGAAACCAAGTGAAGTTAATAATAACTGAGATGATCAAAGCTGTATCTGCTAGCCAGCTTGATTGTTGACACTCAATTTGGTCCTAGAGGATGATTGACCACAAAGGGATCCAGAAGAAAATTAATCGTCACGTCCATTTCTAAGGCAACAACTTCGAACATCTTCACCTCCCTGAAACAGTGCCACACAAAATGATCTTTCATAAATTTCCATCAAACTTCTGGGCAGAGTAATTAGAAGGACCAGGGAAAGGAAAAATTTGTGATGACAGTATTATAATTACTGAAAATACTTTATGGGAAGTGTTTCTATCTAATGTTTTCCCTTAAATTGAAGGGAGGTATGGGGAGCCAGAGGACTACAGACAGCTGGTGAACAAACCTGGTCAACAAAATACATGTTCTTCACGCACACACAAACATACTCCTTGGCCATCTTTGAACTACACAAGTGCAAGAATGCTAGCTTTGAGAATTGCACCTAAATTCTCTTCTCCCCTGAATTATTTTCTAAGATAAATTGTCTTCTGTTTGATTGAAGAAGACCTGATAAGAGAAAAGAAATTGCACCCTGCCCGGTCTTTCAAGACTCTCTCTTTGCCAAGGCATCCACAGGGGATGACAAAAAAGTCAATATGGCAGACAAGTCCACTATATTGCTTTTTTTTTTAACAGACAGCCACCCCCCAGATTCTCCTGCTCCCTCAACATTGCATTGCACTTCCAGAAAAAGTAGTAAAAGTCACACTGGGCAAATATGATGCCATTGCACACCTGAAGGACCCCCCACTGACATGTCATCTGGATGACTGGACAAAGGGAGCCTTTTTGGAGGCAGAAATTCGATGTGGATAATACTCCAACATCCCAAATGAATTATGCCTGTTTGCGTGTACAAAAGAACTGACTGAGGGAGGAAACATCACCAGAATGGGAGGCTTCCTTATTCTTCTTTTCTTTCTATCTGTGTTCACCTTGAAGGATATTACTATGTCATTCTGTAATAGTCTGCTTAATCACAAATCTCATTGGATTTAATTTAAAAGTGGCTGTTCATTTTCTGGTATAAATGGCAACAGTTAAATTCTGCACTCTCTCTTCCTCTCCTCAGGTTCAGAAAGTTCTAGAAATAGCCACTGAGTTTACAATTTCATATTTCATTACATACATTTGGGGAAAAGGAGGCTGAACATATAAAAGGAACTAGTGAGTTGGATCACAATTGTAACAATAGTAGTAGTAGAATGCAGTAGTAATGGTGGTAATTACAAAAACAGCTGAAAGCAAGCAGAAAGAGAGACAGACTCCTGTGGAATCAAAATATAGTAAATTCAATGTAATAATCTGGAATAAACCCTACGAGGGAAAGGATTAAAACCTGACACAAATATAGACCCAGAGCAAAGAGTAATATGGGCCATTTAGAATCTTACCCTGCTAATTTCCTGGGCAAATGTGAGTTATCCAATATGTAATATCCAATATTTGCTTAATATGGTTTATTGAATAGACTACAATTGACTGACTTCATAGAACATACTAGATCATAAATCCTGGTTTACAAATCACACTGGCTCAATTCATACAACACACTAAATCACAAGCAAGTAAATCATATTTTGCCTTAGCGTGTTGTGTGAACTCTACCCATGATAAACTCAGCTGATTATGAGCAATCTATGCCTCCCTACCGCAGATGGCCTCTGGACACCAGGCTCAGTGCGGCTGGTAGAAACACCTGAAAGAGCAGTGCAAAAATGAAGGAGGAAAGTCAGGAGATTATCCCACAGTCTTTCGCTTTCATTGCTCATAAATGGTGACTATGTCTTATACATAATGCTGGAAACTGGAGTCTTTTCAACCACTCTTTCTATGTGCCGACAATATCTTACATAGCTATCATCTTGATTTTGCCCTGAATACCATCCTGTTCCATTCTGAATGGACATAAAAGCTATCAATTCTCAGAATTCTAATCAACAGCCATGCTGGCTGGGCATATCTAGACCTTGGTGGCACCTGATAGCAAGAATTTGCCTTATGGAACTAAAAGCCCAGGGAGCAGATGGGAAAATGAGAGAGGGGAAAGAGTTCTCCTTTTCCTGAGGCTTATGATGAAGCTCTTCTACTTCCAGTTGGTAAAAGTGTAGTGTTGAATTAAAAAAAAAAAAGATTTCTCATTGATGTCTTTGAATCAAAGACATAAAGAATCGGGCTTTTTTTTAAAAAAAAAAAAATCCACAAATATATCACATCATGCTATTGTAGGTATCATGTTAGATTGCATGAGCAGATATATCAAGGCAGATCATTTGTTTCAATGGTGGAGTGGTCAGATCCTAAGAACAGCCCGGCTGGGGATGGGCAAGAATTAGCCTCAGAGGGGCTCTACTGATTTTGCATGGGTTTTCCTCCATGAAAACAGGGGCAGCCCATCCTTTTAGTTCAGGGGTCTTCAAACTTGGCAACTTTAAGACTTGTGGATTTCAACTCATAGAATTCCTCAGCCAGCCACTCTGGGAGTTGAAGTCCACAAGTCTTAAAGTTGCCAAGTTTGAAGACCCCTGTTCTAGTTAGAAACATTTCCAGCAATTGTTTTGAATGCTTCCAGCTTGCACTAAAGCGCTAAACTGTTGAGAATAAATCTGTATATTGGTGTGTGGGTTTCTTTTTTTGGTTTTTTTTTTTTTTTTTGAAGACTTGCCTGGATCTGGGGCTTAAAATGGGTTAGGCAGCCTGCAGTAATTATAATTGTAACCATGTTCTCCTTTCAGATATATGTGAACTTGAGAGCATGAATGTACATGAGAAAGGGACACAAAGAACATTCTGCTGAAAGACTCTGTGGAGCTTGTTACTCTTCCTTTATAGACTTCAGATTACAAAGCTTTTTACTTATTATTGCAAGGTGAGCATTTTAAAAAACCAAATATCCACGTTTGGTCTCAGGGTAGCAAAGAACACCCATGAATGAGACAGACAGAAGCCGAGAGAAGGCTAATAGCGATGAGATCTTAGACAGGTCCCAGATATTTAGCCTTTTCTCACATTGACCCTAGCATCTATCCATCATCGGTCATGCCATGTCTGGATAGAACTCTAACTTTCTCTCATCACCTTGTGCTTCTAATAAAGCCAATCCTTTTTCAGGTATTTTTCTTTCTTTCAGCCCAATCAACTCTGGACCTTCAGTTTTCTTTGCATGGAAGAAAAGAGATTACCCATTTCCCCCTTGTTCCAGATTGCCAGGAATAATCCATTTCTAAAACCAAAATTAATGATTTGGGGGTATTATACTAGCTACTTGTTAGGTTCAGCCTTATGGGTTTAAAGCACCGAAAATAAGTTTCCACCAGTCCTTCCCATTCCACCTTTCTACTTAACCTGCCCATCCCAGCAGCAGCCATCTCTGCCATAATGCCAAATGCCATTTGTAAGTGCCAACTGCACATATTTATATGCTGGAGCAAATGGCATCAGGGCCCATTCTGCCACACAGCTATGTGCATGAACTGTTTTTGTTGCAAACCCAGATGGCATGAAAATGAACATGAAAATGAGCAACGTTGATGAGTTCAGTTCCTATTACACCCTATGTCTACTGGGCAATGCAGAGTTCACAGAGTCAGTGGGTAGATTTATAGCAATCAAATATGTTTTTTTTTTCCCTTTCTCCACCAGTCGGGCCACAAATACCTCAGATCTATTTTTCCTACCTGGTGAGCAAATCCTCAGCGACTCGGCTAAAAGGATGGAGATATAATGGAGCTATCGCATGATAAGCGTAGGTTTCGCATGAAAAGTTCTTCCCTGTTGCTGTTGGCAGCTGCATAAAACAGGGGCCATATACGGACAAGGAATGAGCGAGGAGAAGAAATCAAATTAGAGTTTAGATAGTTAGGAGAGTGGAAAGCCAGTGGAAAACTTGCTCTAAAGTCTTTTCATGGAAGCCATCTAAGTTAGCTATTGGATGCTTGGCAATAGCTCCAGACTGTCCTTCAGATCATAGATCATCTGTTCCCTCTTTCTGTACAATAGTGCAAATGCCCAGTGAGGGAGAGAGGGAGGATGGGGGGGAGGGGAGCGACTTTGCAATGCCATGGCTAAGTTGTGCCTATTGCACACATCAAAGACAGATCCGACTTACTGCACAATACACCTGGCACAAGGCGGGAAGCCGCCGGTACCTGTCAAAACATTTTTACCCTACATTGTGTGTGTTTGTGTGTGTGTGTGTGTGTGTGTGCGTGCGTGTGTAGTGTAGTGTCGTTGTCAAGTTTCAACAGATGGCTCTAGCCTGGCTGAAGAAATGAAGGCAAAGAAAAAGAAGAAGAGCGGGGCTGAATGGGTGGAGGAGGAAAGAGTTCTGTTTCCCCAAGACCTTCTTTGCCCCACTCACTGTTGGGCCTGAGCAACCTGGACGGGCCTCATCCAGGTACCCAGCTTTGATTGTTGGGCTGTGGGGCACTGGGCAAAGGGGCCACATTCAGACCGTTTTGTGGCGGAAGAGCCGAGTCAAAGTTGAAGTCCATCTCGTCACTGTCCATGAAGTCATTGAGAATGATGGACTCCACATCACATTCCAAGCTCCCGTTGAACATGTCCAAGTCTAGATCTGCTGGGAATCTGTCCTGACTCAACACAGGGGTGTGCATGGCTTCTGGGTAAGGTCCCTGCAAGGAATCTAGCAAGCTCATGTGCGCCCCCTGGTTGTTGACGTAGGAATGAAGATGCCCGTGGTGAGACATGTTCACCATGCTGCAAGCGTCACTGGGCAGGCTCATAAGGCTGATCGGAGAGGGTAAGGCACTGTTGTTAAGAGGAGGGTGGTGGCCAGCTGGTGATGGGTGGTATAACGTGTTGCTCTTCATGAGAGAAGACGAGTGGGGAGGGTAGGGGACCAAGCCTATCTCTCCGCCCCCACCCCCACCGCTACACACCAGGGCATTTTGTCTGTGGCCGCGAGGCAGGCCCATGCTGTTGGCTGGTGGCAGGTGTGGCTCGCCCTCCTTGTGCGCGTAGGAAATGGAGGAGAGCAGGTCCTGCAATGAGGCGTTGCGGTAGGCATTCATGGGAACAAAAGTGGCCTGCTTGTTCTCTTGGATGGTCTGCATGGGCAAACGGCGCATGATGCTCATGGCGGGTTGGCTATAAATAGTCCCAGAGTAGGTATTACCACCTCCTCCCCCTCCCCCACCTCCTGTACCCACTGAGGAGCACTTGGAGCTGAAGCCAAAGTTGGAGGTCCTGGGCCGGAGTCCTCCAGCAGAAAGCGGCTGGGCTGGGCTCATGCTGTAGTTGTCCTGCAGGTCATCTAGAAGACTCTCTCCCAGGCTCTCATTCAGGTTGATGGTGCCGGTGAGATCAGTCAGCCTGGGCATCTCCACTGAACAGCGGGCATTCAGGGAGGGGGACAGGGTGCTAGAAGGGCTGGGGTACATCAGTGGGGAGGATGGGGTCCCATCATCCTCCTCCAGGTCATCTGGCTCATGGTTGGCCATGATGGGCGAGAGGCGGCTATTCAGTGTGCTGGCCGAGGAGTTGGCCCGTGTCCGGAAGTCAGCCCAAGCATCGTATTCCTCACTGGCATGGGAGGTGGGACTCTCTGACCATTTGGCCTGCTGGCTAGCTGGGCTTTCTTCTCCTCGTTCCTGAGCAGTCTGGATCTGCTTTTTCCGACTGGCTTTGCCCTTGATCCGCAGGAACTTGCTGTTGTTGTCCATGGAGACGGCTCGTCGACGGGGCGTCTTCCCAGTTTTGCCACCTTCGGGGTTCAGCATCCACCAAGAACTTTTGCCAGTGCCTTCATTTTGCACACGGATGAAGCGGGTGTGCAGGGACAGGTTGTGCCGGATTGAATTCTGCAAGCAAAACAAGACCAAAAGAAGAAAAAATTGTATCAGCCCTCATGTCTCTCACTTGGCATTCTTTTCTGCTTTCTACCATCCCCCAAAGCCACCCATCACCTGGCTTTACCGCTGACATTCACCAAGCTTTTTCAGCTCCGCTTGGGGTTAACAGAATGCCCCACTTTTCTCAGATCAAGAGACACATTTGGGATTTAAACAGCACACTCCTCAAAATGGGGAGTGCCAAGACAAAGAAGGGCCAGGATAAAAAATAAATAAATCAGATATAAACTTAATTAGCACCTAATTAACTAAATTAAATATTCAGTTAACATGATTATCCTGAAGTCTTCTTGAAGTCAAGCTCAACTCCTAAGGACTTCATGGAGATGTCCCTGTCATGTTCTTGGAAACAGTGAATATGATTGTGAACATGATCTTTTCCTGCAACATTATTACGTCAGATGTATGCAATAATTTTTCATTTCTGTTGCATCGAAAAGTAGAGCTGAGTGATAACCTTTGGAAGGTCTCCATGAATGTTGCCCAAGGTTCTTGGGAGGCACATGAAATTCTGGTCCTTAGCCAATTGAAATGAAGATGCAATACATATGAGAGAGCCTTTTTAGTCCAGTGCTTAAGACACCAGGCTAGAAACCAAGAGACTGTGAGCTGTAGTCCTATCTTAGGCATGAAAGGTGGCTGGAAGATTTTGGGCCAATCGCTAGGAGACTGTGAGTTCTAGTCCTCCCTTAGGCATAAGAGTTGGCTGAGTGACTTTGGGCCAGTCACCAGATGACTATAAGTTCTAGTCAGTGATAGAATTCAGCCAGTTCGCACCACTTCGGCAGAACCTGTAGCTAATTTTTTGTTACCCGGGCCCAGAATGGACTTCTGGAAGTGGCATCCACACAGAGAACTGATTGTTCACATATTTGAATCCCATCACTAGTTCTAGTCCCGTCCTAGGCATGAAAGTCAGCTGGGTGACTTTGTGCCAATCACCAGGAGACTGTGAGTTCTAGTCCTACCTTAGGCTTGAAAGCCAACTGGGTGAGTTTAAGTCAATCATTCTTTTCTCACCCCAACTCACTCCCAGGGTTGCTATTGTGGGAAAAGTAAGAAGGAGTATTACGTATGTTTGCCCCCTTGAGTTATTTATAAAAATAATAAAGGCAAGACAGAAGTAAATAAATAAAACAAACATCAGTTAGCAAGGAAGACAAACAACAAGTGACTTGAAACATTGGCTATGCCAGACATGTACCAACCTTCTTTAGGCAACTCTACTTGCTTGAAAAAAGAAGATTCAGTGTCAGCTGATTCTGAGCATTTGGGAAGTTAATAAGCTGGCTATGGAAGGATAACTGTTTTCAGATCTTTCCCCAGGGTTAAAAATATAGAGAGAGCCAGCTCTGTTTCTCAACCTAAGTTGCCATGCTAAGGTTGTTTGGTGTATAGAATAAAATAAAATAAAATAGCCATCAATTTGGCATGCTGAGCTTTTTTTTAGAAAGGGCAGAATATAAATAAAGTCACTGACCCAAACCTCTCCTTGAGGGAGATAGTTGGTCTAGCAACATGAATTATAAAAAAAGAAAATTGAATATAAATTTCTCAAGAGTCTTTATGATGAATCCTTCACTTCACTTCATCCCACAGTTTTTTCCATCTCGTTAGGGAAATATTTAGTGAGAAATAAGGGGATCAAACTAGTGCAGTCATTAAGTGCTAAGGGACTATCAAATCCGAGTTACAAAATTCTGGACTTCCACAAAGATCTATCTGCTACCATTTTGCAACAAACTCTTGTGGCCCCAGATCCTGATCGGTCATGTCCTGCCTTCTGAGATTAAAGCAAGTATCCCTCTTTCCACTTTCATATCCTTCTGGACTTCAATGCTTTTAAAAGGTGAAAAGTTAGACTGTCTAGCACAACACTCAGAATTCTCCAGCCAGCCTTGTTGAAGTCCACACCTCTTAAAGTGGCTAAGGTCGAGAAGTACTGATGTAACATGGTAAACTGAGCATATGGGCTATACAGGTAGTCCTTGACTTATAACAATTCATTTAATGAACTGTTCAAAGTAACAATGGCACTGAAAAAACATTCAAAGTAACAATGGCACTGAAAAAAGTGACTTATGACCATTTTTCACACTGCAGCATCCCCATAGTCATGTGATCAAAACTCAGATGCTTGGCAACTGATTCATATTTATGACGGTTGCAGTGTCCCCAGATTATGTGATCACTTTTTGTAATCTTCTGACCAGCAAAAGCAAGATTCACTTAACAACTTTGTTACTAATTTAACCACTGCAATGATTCACTTAACAATTGTGGCAAGAAAGCTCATAAAATGGGGCAAAACTCACTTAACAAATGTCTCACTTAGCAACAGAAATTTTGGGCTCAATTGTGGTCGTAGGTTGAGGACCACGGGTACATAGAAGTCAAGGTTTTTGCAAACATTTTTCGATGCTTTTTTTCTTTCCCAACCCCTCCCCCCCTCTCTCTCTCCACTGAGCTTGATGCAGAGCTTTGTGGAACCCCAAAGCTGACACCTATCACCCGTTCTTTGTGTGCAGAGTGTTGAGTGTTCCTTTTGTTCTGGTTGGTGTCTGGAACTGGGCAAAGCTGGCTGCCAGGCTGAATGTACTAAGCAAGGAAATGCACATACTGACAGGGGGATGGGCTGGAAGGAGGCACGGGGGTTGAAAATCACCCGGTGAGAGGCTGCCAGGGCGTCTGCAGAGTTTGGATCCATGCCTTTGTCCAGAGGCATACTAATGAGCAGGCAAGAAAGTTATAGAGGCCCATAGATCATATTATGGAATGGCTTGCTTCCCTGCACTTCATTTATTTGGAGACTGCTTGCAGGCTGGCACTCTGCCAGCAGCCACCAAATCCAAGTCTACAGAAATCAATCTCTCGCTGACTGATTAAGCCGTGTTTAGAACTAATTGCTCCTTCGTGTGTGGGGAGAATAAATTATGGGCTTTCATCTTGGCATCTTTAAAATGCAATAGCAGGTAGGGCCTCGCTGTTAACTCTTTCCATCCCACAGTGCGGGAGATGAGGCATGCCAACTTGGAAACCCTTGACCAAAAAGAAGAAGAAGGAGGAGGAGGAGGAGGAGGAGGAGGAGGAGGAGGAGGAGGAGGAGGAGGAGGAGGAGAAGGAGAGGGNAAACGTTGCTGCAGGTTGTCTGCAGCTAAGGCGAGCTTTCTGGAAGTTTCCAACCCTCCCTGCTGAGCAACTACTAAATGTAAGTAAAAGAGGGCCAGCGCCTGGGCCTGCCTGCCGCCGCACCGAACGGGCGGTGGCCAAGGTAAGGCTAGCGGGGCAGCAGCGGGCGCTGGGAGGGTAGCTGGCGCACGTGGGGCCCAGCCTTCCCCCCGTGTTTTCTGCTCCACCCCAAATTCGCCTCCCTTCCACTCTCCTTACGGCTTACGCAGCCATCTATGGCCTTAATACAGCCCTCAGTCTGTCTCGCTTTCAACACCCCCTAAAATTCTTCATTCAGGTAGGCTTCCAGAATTCGGCTGGCAGGATGCAGGTAACCCCTCCCCCCTGTCCTGCCGCCTCCCACAGCGCTGTGCCGCTCCGCGTCCCATGCCTCCGTGTCTCAAGCCTCCGTGGCACAGAACTGCTGGCGTTCTCTCTCCCTCTCAAAGATCCTTAAAAGTTATGCTTGGGCGGAAGACTTTTTCTTTTACAGATGGGGCGGGTGGGCCCAACATTCGTGGGCAGGCAGGAGCCCGCCCTTCACGCCAGCCGGCTCCGTCGCCAGACCTCCCAGCTGACAGGCGCAGGAGTTCGGCGCTGCGGCAGCCTCCCCTTCGCCCTCCGCACCGGCCAAAGCGTCAGCTGGCAACCCCTGGACCTGCGCCCGTCAGCTGGGAGGTCCGGCGACAGAGCCGGCTGGCGTGGAGGGCAGTGGGGAGGTGACGGCTCGGCGGGCATGGCCCATCCGCCCCATCTGTAAAAGAAAAAGTCTTCCGCCCAAGCATAACTTTTAAGGATTTTAAGGATCTTTGAGAGGGAGAGAGAAATAGAGAGAGGGGGAGAAAAAGAGGAAAGAGAAAGAGAGAGAGGAAAGAGAGAAATGGGAGAGGAAAGAGAAAAAGAGGAAAGAGGGAAAGAGAGAGGAAAGAGGGAGAGAGAGAGGAAAGAGAAGAGAGAGGAAAGAGAAAGAGAGGAAAGATAATTTGGGGGTTGACCAGAAGGGAACCGGGTCTTATAAGGGTGAAAGTTGTTCTCCCTCGCCCCTCTCTCCGCCTCTCTTTGTGCAGTGGCATCTTCCCAGTCGCCGAGAAAGGGGGGAAAAAGAGCCGTGAGTGAGTTCCCCTTTCTGCCTCGTTGCTGAAAGCTTTTTTTTTTTTTTAAACGATCACTCGTTCAGAACTCCTCGGGGCTTGTTTGCACGAGCTTGTGGCAGAAAGGGGTGGGGGAGCCAAACTGTCCAAGGCATTTGCACCCTGAAGGTGTGGACGCTGCTTTCATGACTTGCTACCACCACCCCCTCTCTTCCCGCCCTGCTCGGGCAATGCGCTGCTGCTGCTGCTGCTGGCTGAGCTGAGCTGCGGCGCCGGAGCCTCCCCCGCACCTCCCGGCCCGCCTCCCTTGCCATCGGAGGGCATACTGGACTACCATTCCCAGCAGCCCTAAAAATCACTGTGGAAGAGTGGGGAATGCTGGGAGTTGCAGTTCATCACCATCTGGAAAAATATGACTCTCCAAAGATCAATCCTTCCTTCCTTCCTTCCTTCCTTCCTTCCTTCCATCCATCCATCCATCCATCCATCCATCCATCTCCTTCCCTTCCCTTTCAATCTCTCCTTCCTTCCTTCCTTCCTTCCTTCCTTCCTTCCTTCCTTCCTTCCTTCCTTTCTTTCTTTCCCCCTCAATCTCCTTCCTTCTCCATCTCCTT